GCAAGGAGGGAAGAGGGGATCCAGGAATCTAAGAAGCCAGCTATTCCTAGGAATGATATAATCCCTTTGGTAGAAGGGCCCTTGAGGGACAATACAAGGTAATTGTTTTGTGGTTTGGGTAGTGGTTAGCCCCAAGCTGGAACTTACATGGTAAGACTATAGCACCAGTTGGAAAAGAAATTTAGAAGAGCAGGGGTGTCAGTTTGGCTAATTTGTAGGGACAGACTACATATAAGAGGTGTTCTACATACTGTATAAGTTTAGATTTGGGAAGAAACAAGAGTAGATCAGAGGCAAACAAGTGTGGGAGGTCCGAGAACCACTGGGGTAGGACAGTCCAGGTGAGCTGGGTAGAGAGGTGGGTGTCAGGATTGGTCCAGGTGAAAGCAAAGATGGCTTGTGACTGAGTATCAAGGGGGACAGAGAAGAAGATGTCCTCGAGGGAATAGTGGATAGTGTAAAGGTAGAAGGAGACCACTGCAGAATTGAAGAGATCTTGAACCAGGTGGTAGGCCACGCTGGACTTTTTAACTGCAAGTATAGGGGTGCTAAAGGGAGATGACAGTGGTCAAATAGATTTTTCTTAGGAGATAGGATTGGTCCCCTGAGACTGGAGTGAGAGTGCGTGCTGAGCTTGGGTGTACTGAGTAGGGTCTTGTAATTGTATGGCAACAGGCGAATGGTGTTTAGCAACGGAGGGTTTTGGGTATCTCAGACTTGGGGCATTCACCTAGGAGACTGGCAAAGGAAATGAGATGTAGCAATCAGTAGTTTGGGTGGCTAGGAGGAGGAAAGTGGCTACTGATGAGCTTGGGATCATGCAAATGGGGAGAACAAAGGAAACAGAGACTTGAACTAGCTAGAAGATCCTTTCCTAGTAAGGGGATGGGACAGGTTGGCACCACCAAGAAAGAATGAGTGAAATGGACACCCCTGAAGATGCAGTTGAGTGATGGGGTCTGGTGAGGTTGCAAGACTGTCCCCCTACCCTGACAAGAGGGCAATGAGAGGTAGGTCCCCAAAACTCCATCAGGAACAAGTAAATAGCTCCAGCATCCAGGAGGAAGGAGATGGACCTTTTGGATACCATAATGACTACCCAGAGCTCCCTGTCAGAGATGACAGTGGCTGTGCCAAGGGAACCTGGGGCCCCTTCAGTCTTCAGGTCTAAGATGTTGCCTGGATGGCTATTTGGGTCTGATATCCCCACACCCTGAGGCACACAGGGGGCAGTCAACAGATCAATGTCCCTCTTCAAGACACTTTGGACATGGCTGGGAGGTCTGTAGGGATTAGGCAGGCCTGGGCCTACTGAACCTCCTAACCACATTTGCAAAAGGGACCCAGTGGTCCTCAAGCCTTAGGAGGCAAAGGAGCCTGGGTAGTTGCCAAAGGTGGTCTTGGCCAGCATTTGGTATTTCTGTTTATGGGCTTTTTCATATCTCCCATGGTACACTTTAAAGGCCAGCACAATGACTTCTTTCTGCCTGTGGAGTTAGCGGTCCTCTCTCCAGATGCTTAAGCTTGGCCCTATTGTTGGGAAACTCTGGGAAAAGAAATAGGTCATGAGTTGTTTACCCTCTGGGTTTTCAGGGTCTAGAGTGGTATACTGATAAAGGGCCTTTGTAAGGCATTCTAGGAAGTGAGACAGGTTTTCCTGTTTGTCCTGGATGACCTCTTAGAGTTTCTCATAGTTTACTGGTTTGAGGGCAGCCTTATGGAGACTGGACAGGAGGCAAGTTGTAAACTGATCTTTAGCTAGAGTGCCTCCTAGAGTATTGTAGTTCCATTGGGGACCCTGGTGAGGGATGCCTCAATCCCAGCTGGTTGTGCTATGTTAATTTAGTGGAATTCATCTGCATATGCTTTAAGCCTGTTCCCAAACTCGCCAGTGTTCTTTGGGAAGTAGATTGTTAGTTAGAATCACATATATATAGGGGCTGGAGAGATGGCTCAGAGGTTAAGAGTACTGACTGCTCTTCCAGGGGTCCTGAGTTCAGTTCCCAGCAACCACATGGTGGCTCAGAGCCATCTACAATTCAACCTGGTGCCCTCTTCTGGCATGTAGGCAGAACAGTATATATGCAATAAATGAATAACCCTTTAAAAAAATGACAAAGCAACCCACAAAAAAAAAAAAAGAATCACATATATATAATTGACATGGAAGGTGAGACTATAGGATTGAGTGATATACTGAAATTCTTTAATGAAATGAGAGGAATTAGAGGAGTCCCCAGTTCTTTTTCTATTTGAAAGTTCACTTAATGAAAAGGGACATGTACCCTGAGCAGGCTGTCCACCCTGGCAGCCTGACACAAAGGGAGAATGGAAGTCAGGCTAGGGCTGGTTGGGAGAGAGAGTCCCACAGTGGAGTGGGTTCGAGTTACTGGGGGATGGAAAGCAGGCGCCATGATGGGATGGTTAGCGCATCCTGCTGCTGGAGAGGAAGAGGAGGAGACTGAAGGAGCTGGAGGAAGAGAAGGAGCTGTGGGTTGAGGCTGCTGGAGCCGGGGGAGGCTATTAGCAGGGTCAAGAGTTGGAACAATCATCTTGTTCAGACTTCATAGCTACAAGGAGCTGACTTGGGGTAACAGAAGAATAGCGGGAAAGCCTGGAGCAATGGTAAAAGAGAGCTTGCACATAGGGGTCTCTTTCTATTTCCCCAATCACTGACAGTAGTTATAGGAGTCCTGAATAGTACTGGGATCTAGGGGATCTAAGGGATACTGAGGCCAGATTTGACTGCAAAGACAGATAAGTTTAGAGGCCCTTACATCAGGCACTAGGGGGAGGGGTCAAATGTTCTCTGGGAGGCATCCCAAGAGGAGTCAGAAGGTATAGATGACATCATTCCCATGGCTGAGGAAGAGGGGAAGGTCCTATGCCTGTAGCCCAAGGCATCCCCAGGATTCAGGAGGGTGGCGGAGACACTGAACAAGGAAGACACAACCATTCAGTGAGTCACCACTGCGCTCAATGGGGATCAGGGCTAAAAGCCTGAGGAGACTGGTTGCCTGGTACTAGGGCTTTCAAGTGATGCCAAAATGCAAAAACCAAGTTCAAAAATTGAAGCCTCACCTAAAGGACATGGTCAGAGGTGGGGTAGGTGAAGAGGGCCAACTGTAACCTTAAAGACAGTGGCTGGGGATATCTCCACCCCCAAGAAAACCAGAGCAGTGCATGCTGGACACTCAAGGGCTACTCCCTTTGGATCCAGGGAAGTATCTGTACTGACCAAAGGAAAACTTACCAATTGCTGCTGTTGGATTGGGTGTCCAGCAATAGGTGAGCCAGAGGTGGGTCTGTGGAGGTGGACTGGAGATAAGGAATAGAGTCCCAGTGTAGCTCAGACCCCCAAAGGGAAGCAGAGGCACTAGGATATCCTATGAAGTCTTGGCACCAATTTTAAGGTTTTTTTTTTTTTTTTTGTGGTGAACAGAGGCCTAAGAAATGCCACAAAGTCATGCCTTGCAGTGGACCTCATGCCAGAGATTTAATGGGGTGGGAAGGCTGCCCCTGAATGAGGATGGGAGAAAGAGAATAGGCTGTGATGAAGGCTTGGGCTTCATGAGGGGTAAAAGACACACACATAGTGAGAATACATGGCTCATGGCGACAGAGAAAACGTGTTGCATTTGGTGGCTGGTGATGCCATGGCCACTGGTGCTAGGTCACTGAAGGTGAGCTGGGGAGCACATGGTTCGGGAAGGTGTGTGCGTGTGGTTTTGGTTTTCCAACAAATGTACCTTAGGCATTCCTTCTAAAAATTCATATAGATGTACTTGTTTTACTATAACATTTTACTTACTTGGTGTACTTAAGTGCTAGTAAAGGTCAAAGAGGAACCCTGCAGAAGTTGGTCCTCCCTTCCTCCAGGACCCCAAGGATCAAACTGAATTTAGGTCATCAGGTTTGACAGCAGATACTTTTACCTGCTGAACCATCTCTCCCTAGCCCAGACATATCTTGTTTTACAGAGAAAATCTGTTTATCTCTCTGTCCATCCCTTGGCTGTTTAATAGAGTATGTATTCACATGTTTTTAAATGAGTGTCAATATGCTCCCCAAAACAAAACTGTTATTCTCTCACTCACTTTGTTGAGCAATGTTTTACTTATATGAAATAATGAAGAAAACGTAAACTTACACACTGAAGAACATACAGTCTAAAGAGGTAATATTCTATTACTAAAGCGCATTTCTCTGTAGCTACTGTAAGTTACATGGTGCATAAGTTTGAAGCAAGCAGTTCCAGTGTCACTTTCAGTGTCTGGAAGCGCTGTTATACTGAGCCCATTATTTAATCCTTGGTAGGTCTTGATTTGTGTCTCTTCTTTGCAAGATGGGCAACATTAAATGCCTTTTCCTGATACAGTGATTGTGAGTGTTGGCAGCCATGGTATTTTTCTAAGAGCATGATGAGAGCATGGCTACATGGGTAATCATTTAAGCCACACAGTTGCAACTAACAAAACGAGTTTACTTACATTTTAAAAACATTAGTTTAAAAACACCAAAGGTCCCAAAATACTTGGCTTTATTCTGTTTGGAATATTCATTTCCTAAGAATAAAAGATGTCCACTGGAAGCACTCACAATCACCAGATGTCATCCGGCAGAACATGGTGTGGATATGTACATTTACTTTTCACAAGCACTGAGAAAATCCAAAGCTCCAATGGAAAAGGAGAACATTTGCTATAAGAGAATTAAGTTGAAGGTCATCAGGTTGTAGGATAATCATGCACTTTTCTACCCATGGCAAAGGAGTTTCCCAGACAGTTTAGTAATGATGGCTTGGAGTTTATACCAATTGATTTGGGAGTGGCTATGAAAAGCAACCAGAAAACACCTGTTTCCAGGCATCTGCTTTAATGGATACTAAGTGCTATGATTTCCTAGAGGGATGAACACCTCAAATCTCTCTATGTAAGAAATTGAAATGTGTTCAGTGTGAGACATCAGAAACACTTCCAATAGAAACTGCCAAGTATACCTGTGGTTTAAAGGTCACATTTATTAGGAGATTAAGAGGTGCATTATCCATGGGCTATAAATAGTGCACAGCTGACTTGATTCACAGTCAAGCAGAAATGAAGCCAGTGCCAACCTATTTTGTAGACACTCTTGTTCTTTTGTTCCAAGAAAAGTTTGCACCGTAAGACTTGGACTTGGGTTTTGGAACCTTCTTCTCTTCCACATCATAGCTCCATCCTAGAAGGAAACAAAACAAAACCAAAACAAACCCATAGGAATAGAATTAATAAGAATGCTTAAAAACAGCAAGCAGAGACTAACTTTTATAATTTCATGTTCACTTATCAATAGGAATAGATGTCAACACATGTGAAATATAAACATTTAGTCATTTGTTTACTCTCAGTCCTGTATGCAAACAATGCCTGAAGATGGGTTGCCATATATCAAAGTAAAAGTGTAATCTATGATTTAATTTCACCTTCTTAAGATTTCTTGCTTAGTTACCAACAGCTATGCATTATATAGAATTAGATTTCTACACATGGCTTAATAGGTAACCACTACGAAACACTCAATAATATAATTCGCCTCACTGCCATAAGATCTAGTATCTTTATGACAGTCTGGAACACATCTGATGTAAGAGATCCCCTCATCCCCCTGGAGAGATTATCAAATTCTGTCCCCTTACTATATAACTAAAGTAAAAACTGAATTTAAGTATTTCTTTAATGATTATGAGACTAGTTCAAATCATAGACTAACAACACCAATTTTGAGACCTGACTAAAAGCCAGCTGGATCTGAACATCTGGTGGGGCCTTGAGAGTTGTACTGAAACTCTCAATTTCAGGAGATTTTAAGGCAAACCTAACTGAGAGCCTTTGGTCAAAAATGTTCTTTTTGAGTTTGTGTCTGTCTTCTTTCCAAATGCCTTTGTGTGTGTTTTATAACTTTGGAAACTGAACTTTTTTGTAAGAGTATCTCTGTTTTGAGTCCCATTTAGTTCTCCCCAAAGAAGGGGAGAATCAAATCAACACTCCTTCTTGAACAAACTGTTACCCTTATGTTCCCTTAGGCTAAGCCACTCTTACAGCTTTTATTTGTCTTTATAAAATCCATTTTCCCAACATTCTTTTCTCTCAGGACTCTTTTTCGAATAACTCATCTTGAAGCCTATTTCATGATCATCACGTATAAAACATCCAAACTGCATATTATACAGTCAAAACAAGTGACTTCTTCGTACAAACTCTAAAGAATTCTGGTATTTCTTCATGGGAACACTACTTTAGTACAGTAATGAGAATTGATAAGGGCTACAGGTCCCTGGCAGGAATCCAATTATCAACTATGCCAGAAAACGTGACCTGTGAAGTTCAAAGTATCCGTCCTACTGCAATGGTCCCAGAAAGGAAAACAGTAGCACTGATACTTTGATCTTATAAACTACTTGATTCTCCACCATCCTATTGTTAGCATTTAATGTTTAAACAGAGTGTAATACCTATAAGGAAATTGCAACTCAGAAAGGCAAATTCAGCATTAGACTAGCTTCAACTCTGCCACAGTCTTCCTTCCTTCCCTCCCTCCTTCCTCCCTCCCTCCTTCCTCCCTCCCTCCCTCCCTTCCCTTTTCTGATTTTCTTTCTTTTTGTGGTGGATAAGTGCACACAATATAACTGGCAGTGAAAGGGCTTACAAGGGAAGCTCCATGGCTTCAGAATGGCCTTTCTCACTGTGTATCAGTTCCCTGAGATGTCTAGAGTTTGGAATATGGCAAATGTTTGAATGGCTGCCTTAATTTAGTTGTGTGACGTATGTGAGCTTATCACAATAAAATGGTTCAGAAAGGCATAAAAATACCTGTTTAATTCATGTGCTCAACATTACTCTCAGAGTAAATGTTTTGAGTACTTTCCTACTATTTATGAAGAAAGCACTACAGTTTAAGAAAAGCTGATCTCATAAAATAAAGTACATGATTATGTCTACTTCAAAACATGTATTAAAAGACATTAGAACAGTACATACTTGATAAGGTTGTCCTGAGGAATGGGTCTGACTGTGTGATGAGCTGGATAGGACTGGTTATTAAGTATTGATAGGTAAGTTAATGGAGTAGTCTGAGCAGAGCATAGTTGCAAACTTCTAAGGCACTTTACACATCAACCAGCAAATGCTTAAGTGTAAAACACAATTAAATGAAGCAGATAGAACAGGTATTTACTGAACATTTGCTATTCGTTTAAGTTACTGATCACTTATTATGTCAAGGGCTACCTTTAGAGACTGGAGATAAACAAAGGAATAGAACAAAGCAAAGCTTCCCAAGCTAATAGGGAAGAAAAATTCATAAATAAACATAATAATCAAGGTGCTGAAATAGATAGAACTAATGATTTTGAGATAGGCAATCCCTCCCTCCCTCCCTCCCTCCTTCCCTGAGAAAATAACATTAGACCAGGAGGAGGTCTGGGAGTGCACCAGGTAATCATCTCTGAGGAAGGGTTCAGGTAAAGAAAAAGTATCTACTTAAGCCTTGAGGCAAGAACACACTGGTGGACTGAAGTCTGTGTTTGAATCTGTAAGTTGCTTGGCTTATGGGCAGATGTGTGTGTGTGTGTTTATTTATTTATTTATTTATGTATACATATAATATAGTTATATATGCTGGGTGGTGGTGGTGTACACCTTTAATCTCAGTACTTGGGAGGCAAGGGCAAACAGATCTCTTTGAGGTCGAAGCCAGCCTGGTCTACAGAGAGAGTTCTAGTACATGAAAAAAACATGGAGAAACCCTGTCTAAAAAAAACAAAAAAAGGTTACATGTAATTGGTTTTGATTTATTTTTTATATCTAGAATAAATATATTTATTTATAAAAGAAAAAGAAAGCACATAGAAAATAGGTTGACTTTAAAGCCATACACTATCCACCTCATATGGAAAACTAAATTTCTTTAAATACAATTTGTAGGGCTGGAAAGATAGCTCAATAGTTAAGAGTACTGGTTGCTCTTCCAGAGGTCCTGAGTTTGATTCCTAGCAACTGCATGGTGATTTACAACCATCTACAGTGGGATCTGATACCCTTTTTCTGGGGGGAAAAAAGTGTACATGCAGATAGAGCATTCATATACATAAAATAAATACATTTTTAAATATGTACATATATATCTTGTAGCTACCATTTTTATTTTACCAACTTCCTTTCAACCTGACAGTAATTTTCTTTCATTAAAAACGTATTTTTACAAGACTTTTAAGAATTCCTGAAAATGAAGTCTATGTGCCTACAGTGCTCACTCCACCTTGCTCCAATTATGGAGGAAGAACCAGGAAGTTTTCTAATGTTGATTCTATGTCTTGCTATGACAGTCACTAGTTAGATTACTCAAGAATTCTATGATTTTTTTTTTTTTTTTTTTTTTTTTTTTGCCAAATGAGGGGTGAGAAACAAGCTTTATCACCACCTACTGCCTGCCAAGACAGACTTTCCAGTCCTGGAAGGAAATGAAGAAATGGGGACATAATGACAAATACTGTGAATTCTACTTGCTTACATCAGAACCTAGACACAGTTCTACTATTACCTGTTCTAGTCAGAGACTTTCAAAATGCCATCAGGGCCAGTGGCATGAGACAAGAGTAGAATCTGGTTTAGTTTCTCCTAAGAAAGTAAGCTAAACTATATTGTTATCAATGGTGATACAGTTCAGAAGAAACCTGTGGTCGGCATCTGATCTCTATGACTGCTCCACCAGTCACATGACTGTTATGACACGCAGGGACAACTGTCTCTCCTCATGTTTTTCTGTGGAAAACAGCTCTGTTCCTAAAGTTGAACACGTGACTACACTTGTCTGAAGAAAAGCAACAGGGGTTATGAGGCAGGCTGATGGAAATCAGTGTAGCCAGTGAAAGTAAAGTAAGACTATGTAACTTTAGATTTTCATTCACTCAGAACACATTTTTGCTTTGTTCTGGGACATTATTAAGAGGAAACTCTAAGAATAACACTTGAGATATTGACTATGTACTTAGCAATGGGTAAGTTACATGAATTACCGGTGCTCCTTTATTTATACTTCTCATATGAAATTTGTCCCTAAAAAGGAAGAATTTTATATGAAGTAAAATGCAGAAAATTAGCAAAATACTCAAAATGTCCAAATTTCTATTTTTTCAACTTTAAGTTCTTTAAATAAAGTAAAAACAAAAACTCCAAACTTGTATTTTAGATGAAGCAGTACATTGTCTGAAGAATGCTTATATAAAATGAAGGTAGTGCAGTCTACGACAATGGTCCCATATGTTGTCTTATTAGGTCACTCAAAACCAGGCCCTGCTTTTTCCAGCTGTGCAACAAGAAGATCAAAGCAACTGAGTCCAAGGCAGCTGCCCAGGGATGGAGTAAAGCTCCTGGGACTGCCATCACTTCCCACCGAGGAGAGCAGCCATATGGCACAGATTAGCCACAAATCCACCCAGCAGCACCTACATGATGAGAGAAGCTGACTGCTCTTTCACACAGTAGAAAGCTTTCACAAAAATGTCTTCAACATTAAGCTACAGAATAAGAGAAGTACATCTGGCAAATGCTTAGGAAACTTAAAATGTGATCATTAATGTCCAATAACAAATTTCTCTTTCAAAAAGCAGGCCATCTTATTTTATAGATCTTTACATTGTATCTGGATTGTTCTATTTCTGATGCAATGATTGGTGCAATCTTTTCACACATGCACACATGCCTTTGAAACCAAACCAGATCACAATAGTTATGACTTTCACATCAGATAAAGAAAAAGTCCATTCATTTTGATTTATAGAATATTTCATTCATGGCTCATAATAAAAAAATTGCAAAGAAACATTCACTTGCTTTTACTGCTTATGACAAATTTTACTCTAGAAACCCTGATTCCAGTTCTGGGAAAGGTTCTTCTCCTTTTCTAATATAATCACAAATCTGACATTAATTAGGATGGAAGTGATCAGTTTAATAATTTGTGATGGAACAAGCAAACACCACAAAATGTGACACAACAATTGGAAGATACGGCTACACCTTGGGACATCTGAACACACAAGTCTGAGACACTAAGGGAGGCACAAGGGAAATACTTAAGGCTCTAGGCTGCTTCACTGGGTTCTAGTCTGGTATATCACACCCAGTGGAAGGCCAAGCAGACACCTAGCATTTAAGAGGAGGAAAGATAGAAAGACAGCT